AGGGTCTGTGGGTGCCTGAAGGACTGTGCATAGGCTGGCCAGAGTAGTGGCAGCTGGAGCCATGTAGAGTAGGGTCTGTGGGGGCCTGAAGGACTGCATGTAGGACAGCTGGAGTAGAGGCCCTAGTGAGGGGGTATGTGGCCAAGGACGTCTGAAGACATCTGAAGCAAAGTTTGGGCCAGAGTCCAAGTGTGGCCCAGCAATGGGGCCGGGGGAGTTGGAAGTGATTTGTGGATGTGATCTGCAAGGCATGTGACATGGTGCAAGGGAAGGATTGGAGCTGTGTATTTTGCCCTTGGCATCAGGGCAACCAAATGGGCAACCTCCTGCTTATAAACACCTATTTTTGGAAACATCAAAGGTGTGGCAGGAAAGACAGGGTAAACTGCCTTAGACAGGTGGGTGGGCCAACAATTGGACCGGCCTCGAGATGGCCTCATCACAAGACCAAACACAGAAGTAAAATATCAGACCTACAATTTTGAAGTAAATGGGAACAAAATCCAGTTAAAATATCTTACAGTTAAAATTCAAATGTCATTGGTATACTCACCAGCCAGGAAACACAGATTGATCAGTTAAATGATCCCCTCAGAGCCAATGGAAATGGTGAGATTCATGTACAAAATCACTTAAGGGAATATAGTGTTTCTGATCTACAGAGGTACCTGAAGTATGTACATATCTGTCACGGTGTTTACAACTTTTAATTCAACATGATGGGGGGAAAACGCCTACTAAAAACAGATTTTTTTTCTCTGTGAACTACCATGCTTGAAATATATATTAGTGCCTGTTTCAGACCATACAAACAAAAAAGTACATGAAAATTGGCTGAGGTGTGGAAATTTCTTTCAGTGAAATATTGGATGTACTGTCAAGATGCTCCAGAAGGCTAGATTTTGTTTTATAAATCTAAAAGAGATGCACATTTAGTTCTAATGACAGCAGGACTAATGAAACAACATTTTTTTCATAATTTTTGCCTAGTTAGCTGATTTTTTTATGCAGAATAAATAATATAGCAAATTAACGCACATGCCAATAAAATTATGTGTGTTTTTGCTTTGATCTTAAACTGAATAATATAGCCCTAGGCCCCTAGCAGATTAAAGCTTCTAGTTTCTTCTTACCTGGATAAAAACATGTCTTTTGTTGCATATGGTGAAGCACCAGGCCATCTGCCCCTATGTCCCCCTTTCAAAATCCTAGATTTGCCAAAGAATACTCTGCCTTGTGTCTGCATGCTTGGCATGGTCACCCCAGTGACTGTCCCTTTCAATTTGACTCTCCCGTTCCAATCAGCAATGGAAATGGCTAATAACTGACGGCAGCGGGCAGTGGGGGCCCAGGGGAGATCACCATCAAGAAGCAGTGCTGGAGCCCAAGGCAGAGGCAGATCCAGGGGGGGCAGTGGTACAGTTGTACCCGGCTTTGATTTCTGCTCCACCCAAAGTTTAAAACCAACTGTCTGGCAGCATGAGCAGCATTTCTATTCAGGCAGCAGCAAAGGAGTCCCTTGACTTCACAGCTCATTGCAGTCTACCTGATCCCTTCTAAACTCTTTGTTCCATGGGTGTTATGGAACCTCTCTTTTTTAATGGTCCTGACCTTTCGAGGATCAAACCAGCCTTTGTTCTGCCATTCTGCTGTCTGGGCTCCTGGTAGCACAGCTCCTATCCCACAGCTCGGCCAGCTGTTTCTAACTCATTTCATAGATTCATAGACACTAGGGCTGGAAGGGACCTCAGAAGATCATCGAGTCCAGCCCACTCCCCCAGGGGCAGGAAGTCAGCTGGGGTCATAGGATCCCAGCAAGATAAACATCCAAATGTCTCTTGAAGGCGTTCAAGGTAGGCGCTTAACCACCTCTGGCAGCAGTCTATTCCAGACCTTGGGGGCTCGGACAGTAAAGAAGTTCTTCCTTATGTCCAGCCTGAAACGGTCATTGAGGAGTTTTTACTGTTCAAACTTGTCATCCCTTGGATGTTCCCCCAGATCCTGGTGAGTACCCCTGATAAACTTACAGGTGGCCACCAGATCACCCCTGAGCCTGTGCTTTTCCAGGCTGAAGAGTCCCATGGCTCTCGGCCTCTCTTCATAAGGTCTGTTTTCCTGGTCTCTGATCATGCGCGTGGCTCTCCCGTGCGCTCTCTCAAGCTTCTCCACATCCTTTTTGAATTGTGGAGCCCAAAACTGGACGAAGAACTCCAGCTGCAGCGTCACCAAAGCTGAGTACAATGGGAGGCTGACATCCTGGGATTTGCTTGAGAAGCATCAATGGATGCAAGCCAGCTTTTTCCTCACTTTACTAGCCACAGCATCACATTGAAGGCTCATATTCATCTTGTGGTCAGTCATGACCCCCAAGTCCCTTTTGTCTGTAGTGCTAGCCAGTGTAGCACTGCCGAGCCTATCAGGATGCTGCAGGTTTTTCCTCCCAAGGTGGAGAACCTTGCATTTATCGGTGTTAAACACCATCAGATTCTCATCCGCCCAATTCCTGAGCCTGTCAAGGTCTGCCTGGATCACCCTCCTGTCCTCAGGTGTGGATGCTTTACCCCAGAGTTTGGTGTCATCAGCGAACTTGGCCAGTCCGCTTCTGACACTTATGTCCACATCACTGATGAAGATGTTAAATAGTATTGGTCCTAGGACAGAGCCTTGGGGGGCCCCACTGGTTTCAATGGAGTTCTGTTTGTTTTCACTTCACTTCAGTCTGGCGGCGAACCATCCTGCCCGAGGCGCCTAGCCCATCATAAAGCTTCTGGCTAAACTGGGCAAAGGCCTGTGCCGTGTTCTAGGGGCTGCTTGAGGCTTTTCAGGGCCCCCGCCTGTCCCTCACACCCACCCTGTACCCCATACACTTGGGGGCTGGGCAGGGTTCGAATCACGCTTTGACTTTTGTGGGGGTCTGCAAAAGATAGGCCTGCCCATCATGATGCCCTAATAAAATTGGAGATCCTCCAGGTTATGATTTTCAAATCTTACAAAGAGAATCTCGTCTCTAATGGGGGGGCAGAGCTCCCCAGTAATTTGAACTCTGGAGTTGGGACCTGGGGGCAGGGGTTGAGCAGTGAGGGGCCCTGGGTCGGGACTGGCCGTCAATATTTGCAAATGGGTCCTGGTACAAAAAAAGGTTGAGCGCCCGCCACTCCTCTGGGAAGGATGCACCTCGCCCTCTGCGCCCCGCTTTCCCAAAGCCTGGATCTGCCCAGGCTGCGGCTGTGAAAAGCTGCAGTGGGGCTGGTGATCCGAGCTGGTTGCCACCTCGATTTGAATCTACTCCGGGGGGTTTCTGGAGTGGCAACGTGCCCATGGCACACAGCGCGAATGTGCCCACGTGCCTGGTGCCTGGAGACCCCCGGGCCATCCTGGAGGGTCCCCCCTTTCCCACCGCCTGGA